CCCTAGTCTTTAGTACTCTTAACAACTCATGAGGTATATACAAACAGCTCTACTATAAAATTATTAATAATAATAAAAGCTAACATTTTCTATGTGCTCAGTGGATGCTGAAGTTCTATCTACTTTACATGTTAACTAGTAAGATGACAAAGTAAGTTAAGTGACTTGCCCGATACCATGGAAGAGCCTGGATTTGAACTCATCTTTTTAACTCTATAGCTTTTTTCACTAAATCATGTTGGATTCCAATAAAAAAAAAATTGTTGACATGGTAAACTGTGACATTTTCGCTTTAGTTAAAAGCATTCTAATCAAGTTCATCTCATTCTGTCTATTATTTCTGTCTTCTGGAATTTATACTCAGGGAATACTGTTCTGCCAAAGCCTCCTCAGTCAATCTCTGATGTAACTTCAAGACTTCAAGCAAGAGCGGGCTCAGACTTCACCAAAACCACTGAAGCTACTCAGCTGGTTTACTGGTCTACACAGGTCAAATGGAAGGGAAGATGTGAGTCATCCCCCAGTGAGACAAATAAATAACAATAATGAAGTCAAAAGATAATAATGATAATACCATTACAGAAGACATTGGACCCTGTTTTTAATAATAGCCTTACATACTTACCAGAATCAATGCTAGAGAAAGTACTCTTCTTGACAGTTTTTCCCATTTTCCTATCAGTCCCATTTTAGCTATACTGTATAAACAAATTTAGACTCTCTCTCGTATCTGATGAAACTTTAATTTTATATTTTAAAACCATAAAACGTAATCACAATCCTCATCTGACATTCTCTTCCACAGAACAACATCCTGGAGTTCTTGCTGAAGCAAGGCTCATTTACATGCTAAAAAGTAAGGTGTTTAAATACTATAGTCAAAATGAGCCCTTGGCGTTCTACTTTTCAGGACACCAGATACAAGTAAGCTAAAATGGCCAGATAATACATGTAATGTAAGATTTAGGATTTTGGAATGGAAAAACTTGGGTCGTAGAATCATTTCTGGCTTTTACTAATTTGTACAAGAATTTAACTATGCTCAATTTTCTCATTTACAAAATGGGAATAATTATATGTACATGGTAAAGTTGTGGAAGAAGATTAATGAAATGACATACACGCCTCCCCAACAGGAACAAGCCCCCTGGGTACATTTCCTTTCAGCCTACTAACATGCCTTTCCTCTGCAAGGATTTGGGGGTGGAACCTGATGCTGCGCTTAATGTCGTAACCACAGCAACCCAGCAATGGGCAGCCTCTGACAGTCACACCCACTGACACAGCTCCTCAGATCCTTATCAGGTTAACTCAGAGTTCTAACACTTCAGACAGAACTTAGAAATCCTATAAAAGCAACGTAATGCAATAATATGGGGAAAAGAAAAGATGAAATTTATTTAATAAATGTGGGTAGGCAGAGAGGTGGGGCAGGCATTATCTTGAAGTAATAAAATCTTAAGGATACAGTTTTATGTGTCATTAATGTTCTTCATAGGTTGTCTAAATATCAACCATATTTTTTAGTAGATAAGAATAAAAAAGCATAAGCTATCCACTCAAATTTTATAAATGCTCTATTTTCATTGAAACACTTGTGTGAGGGGATCAAAAAATGAATACCTTTAGGTCTTGAAATTGCATGTACTTATAATACCAATAATAATGTGAATTGCATAGAATTTTATGAAACTTTTGTACCAGTGTATTCTACATTGATCTTCTGAACAACTACCTTATCTCTGAGATAGACAAGGAATATATTATCATTGTTCCCATGTATAAATGAGGAAATTGTGAAACTTGTCCAAAGTCACTAGGTTATAGTACAAAATAAACCTCAAGCTCAGTGTATTACAATGACGAATGTTTGTTTCCCACTCACGTACAAGGCAGTGGCGAAATTGCTTTTACTTTTTCCCACATCT